ACAAAATTCAACCTGTCTCAAAACATATATTTAAATTTGTATTTTTTTAATAGACGTTTGTCCGGCCGTTGACAACTCACGCTGACAAATCAACTTTTCAATTTGACGGCTTTACCAATTAGATTTCCGTGATAATTAAGTGAACGTGTTTTGAACTAGAAGGATAGCATTTATTCAAAGTAAATATAGTAAATCAGTAGAGTCTCAAAAAAGATCATCAAATCGTGGCAGATGTGACACCATTTTCTGGTCTTTTTCGTCCTTTTCTTGACCTCCGATGTCATTGATCTTCGTGGATCTTCATGGTACTATAATACAGACAATCGTGATACAAATTATAGGAATAAGTCAATTGAAAATAGTCAAACTTTGCACAAGGACCATGAGCTTCAGTGTTGTTTTTGTTCATTTTGTCGACCGATCATTTTTGACAGTNAAAAAAGATCATCAAATCGTGGCAGATGTGACACCATTTTCTGGTCTTTTTCGTCCTTTTCTTGACCTCCGATGTCATTGATCTTCGTGGATCTTCATGGTACTATAATACAGACAATCTTGATACAAATTATCGGAATAAGTCAATTGAAAATAGTTAAACTTTGCACAAGGACCATGAGCTTCAGTGTTGTTTTTTGTTCATTTTGTCGACCGATCATTTTTGACAGTGCATCAGACCAAGAGAATACATGACACACCCTATCCGAAACCGGCTATATCGTGTAAAAGGTCTGAACGAATTTCGTCCAAAAGGGCTGAAACGATAACACACATTAGAGTTTGGTGTCCGATTTTATACCGCTCGAGAAGACAGTGGTGTAAGCAAAGAAAGACTACACAAGGAAAACGTTTGTGTGCCACGTAATGAAGGTCGTGATAAAAACTTAACTGAATTTAAAAGCCACGTTATATACTTTACAGACATAACAATTAGCCTAAATTTTTCAAGATCGTCAGTTGTAATATGTGTTAATCTTCTCTGTCCTTAACCATCCGTGTTCCTTCATGGTTCATTATTATCAGTCTCTTTGGTGCTTTTCTATCCTTGTAAACTAGTATTGTCATATTTCCTTCGATTTAAAGGAAATTTTGCACGTTCCCAAAATAACTCAAAATGCAGCGACCGAGTTCCGTTAAACTCTTTGTATTCTTAAGGTCCATCTGTAAGGACCTAAAGTGATGGTGGTGTAATTTTTGGATATACGTCAACGCATGAGAGGTTACCTGGTCTTACATTGTTTGAATTTACTAATGCATCTTTAAATAGAATCCGCGTACTATATTTTTGCACCTAACTGGCTTTTATTCAAAGATAAGGCTCCATAATATATTTCTTATCTTGCTACCTCTGCTTGTACGCAATGACACTCCGTTTATTTCAGAACTCCCGAGAATACAGAAAACACTCGCCTTTGTTTCGTGTTTTTACAGTTCTCTGGTGTTCTCAAATCCGCGTCTTTGAGTGTTATACTTCTCTTAGAATCTGTAATCTTATCTGCTCACTGAAACGTAAATGACGTGGATGGATGCAAATAAACACATCTCCCTTTACAGAAACAAGCTCCTCGTTAATATAATTAGAGTTCTGCATAAAAGTAAAAACCGTCTATTCTTGTGATCATTATGTTCATTTCCCCTGTCATGTTGCCAACTTAAGTTTAAATTGATTTCTATACTCGCCTATTACCAGCATGATATCACGAATTGTTAGGTTCTATCTGTCTAGACTACGAAAAGGTTCTCTTGAACTAAGGGAGAGTAGTTCCGACCATTCTTGTCCTATCTTACCTTTCTATTTTTCCTTAACTATTACGTCATCAGACACGTGACCTTATGACTTTAAGGAATTTGAGGACGTTAGAGTATTCCTTCTCTTTACTCGAAGTGGTCGCTACTACAAAAATAACAGTTTCATAGGGGAAAATATTTCTGTTTACATACTTGACATGGGATTTTACACAGGAAAGAATTGCCCATGCTACAAATGAATAAAATATGCTAAAGTTTACAGGACTAACAGAAAACGTTTGGTTGTGACGCCTAGATAGCTACCCAGTGACATACGCTACCTTATATAGCCAAGCAGTCAAGCTGTGTTTTATCATGTACTGAGAAATATTTATTTCAGCCTTCCTTGAAGGTTTTTAAAAGTCTAGTCATGTCAAGTCATATGTAGGTCGTGTCGTGTGATGTCATGTGATGTCATATAATGACATGCAATGTCTTGTCACATCAATATTATTTCAGGTCAAGTGAAGTGATGTCAAGTGAAGTGATGTCATATCATATCATGTCATGTGGTGTTATATGTTGTCTCATCATCGAGTCATTTCTTCGCATGTGATGGCGTGTCATGTCATCTCATGTAACGTCATATGTCATGTTATGCATTTGATGTAGTGTAATGTCACGTCACGTCATGTCATGTCACATGTCATGTTATCTCATTTCATTTCGTGTCAAGTCATTCCATGTTATGTCTTCTGATCGGTTACGTTACGTCATTTCACGTAGTGT